TCTACTCTCAGAGCTTCTCTTTTCCTTTCCTTCATGTTCCCAATATATCACATTTTTTAAACTTAATAATCATTCATTGTATTTAATGACCATGTAAGGATTCCCCGTGTATTCTTTCTTGTACAACCTTTTGTTTTCCTTGAAGTTAATTGTTTTGCCATTCTTTTCGATTAGTCTTCTAAAATAGAAAAAATTCTTAGTCCTTGCTTATCTTGAAAATGTTTTCTGCACTTAGCCAGTGATTTGTTTAGGCATATAATTCTGCTTTGGAAATCATTTCATTCAGAATTTTGAATCTTTCTTTTAGTCCTATTTAACTGTGTTGCTATTGTGAAATGTAATTTTCTGAAAGCATTTGGATCTTTGAACTTCATTATTTTTTTGTTTGGTTGTCCATTGTATTCAGTGGATTAAATGCTGTGTAAAACTGCTTATTCACTGAATTTCTAATCACAGAACCTAGCATTGTTTTTATATGAGAAGCTGTTCAGAATCTGAGCAACTGTAAGACTCATGAGGCCATTGAGAAAAATGCCTTTTTAAAAAAAGATTTATTGGGGCACCTGGGTGGCTCAGTGGGTTAAAGCCTCTGCCTTTGGCTCAGGTCGTGATTCCAGGGTCCTGGGATCAAGCCCTGCGTCGGGCCTTCTGCTTGGCGGGGAGCCTGCTTCCCCCTCTCTCTCTGCCTGTCTCTCTGCTTACTTGTGGTCTCTGTCAAATAAATAAATAAAATCTTTTAAAAAAATAAATTAAAATAAAAAAAGATTTATTTAGGGGCACCTGGGTGGTTCAGTCATTAAGTGTCTGCCTTCCACTTGGGTCATCCCAGGGTTCTGGGATCAAGCCCCGCATTGGGCTCCCTGCTCTGCAGGAAGCCTGCTTCTCCCTTTAGCACTCCCCTGCCCACTGGCTTGTGTTCCCTGTCTCGCTGTCAAATAAATAAAAAATAAAATAAAATAAGAAATGGAAGGAAATTATTAAAAAAAAAAGATTTATTTATTTGAGAGAAAAGGGCGTGCATGTTGTGTGGGCGAGTGTGTGGGAGGGGCAGAGGGAGAGGGAGAATCTCATAACAGACTCCCCCTGCTGAGCCTGGATTCCTCTTGGGGAACTTGATCTCACCACCCTGAAATCATGACCTGAGCCAAAATCAGGAGTTGGATGCTTAACTCACTGAATCACCCAAATACCCTGAAAAGTGCCTTTTTTTAGTTAAAAAAAAAAAAAAAATTCTTTCATTGAACAAGAAGGGGTTTAGTCAGACCCTGCATCTCTGTACTAGTGGCTTTCAAGTTCACTGTGCTTAACGATCACCTGGTGATGCTTGTTTTCCATGTAGACTCCTTGATCCCTCCCCGAGATACTTGGATTCAGTAAATCTGACTAAGGATCATCTGGTGATACTTATCAACCAAATGGATTTTTTTTTTAAAGATTTTATTTATTTATTTGACAGAGAGAGATCACAAGCAGGCAGAGAGGCAGGCAGAAAGAGAGGAGGAAGCAGGCTCCCTGCTAAGCAGAGAGCCCGATGTAGGGCTCTATCCAGGACCCTGAGATCATGACCTGAGCCGAAGGCAGAGGCTTAACCCACTGAGCCACCCAGGTGCCCCAACCAAATGGATTTCTTGATCCCTCCCCAGGATATTTGGCCTCAGTGAGTCTGGTGTGGCGCTAAGAAATTTGCATTTTCCTATGCGGGGACCCTAGTCAAGCTGCAGTGCTATGAAACTGAGAGTCTTCAGGCAGTGGGGAAATGGATGCTCATTTCAACTTCCTCTTTTATTTATACAAATAGGGAGTGTCTTTAAATAAAAGAAATACATAATTTGTGTGCACATTTTTACATGTGGTGTTTGAGTCTGTGGGATGATGCTGAACACCTGTTCAGCAGATAGCAGACCGAACAGCACCTGCCGTTAGACATGGGACTGTGTTGTGTCGTAATTATTGATTCATATGTCTGTCTGTCCCAGCACACTGCGCAGTCTCTGAAGCAGGACAGAGGATGTTTTTAAAAACCTTTTTCAGTGATCTGTGGGAAAGTGTGTTGTCTCTGGAAATTCTGTGTTGCCGTATAGTTCCTCGTAGAAGAGTGGTATGAATAATGATATAGGCCTGCGGTGATCTTTCTTTGTGTTAAGGTCTTTAATGAGTTTTGTATTTATATCATCATCTTTGGATATCTTTATTCCTTAAGGACTAAAGTGTGGTGGAAGAGAACAATTAGGATCATTGCTTGAGATTCATCATCGACCAACTGGGTTGTCTATATAACAGTTTGCTAATAGTTCCTTTGGTTTGGTGTAGTCTTAAAATTTGTCATATTTTTTTCTGTGAGCCAAGATTTGTTCAGCATAAAGGAAACCAGCACTTTAAGTCTCTTTTTAAACTACTTTTATCAACAACTCTTGGCGTGGTAGCACATGTGTTAATTACATATTCATATTTACTTCATAAAATAATTCTGACTCAACCTCCTGCTTTGTTAGCTGTTAGTATATGTACTTGAATATTTTAAGTGTCAGATTTTCATTTTTAATTTGGCAGAAAATACGCAGCTACAGTAAAGAAAATTAAAAAATGAAATTCACCGATTATTTTTTTATCTTTGCATAAAAGCTACATTCCTCCAAATAATTTATATTTTTAGATTGGCTGGGTGTCCTCTTGATTTTGTAATCATGTCGTATCTCTAAAACAGTATCTAATCGGCATTTCCTTATCTCTTAATGTAATTATGAAAATAATGGTTTGATAATTCTGTTTAAATCATCTTGTCATTTCAGATGGTATGGAGGAGACTAATGCTGTATTGTTTGTATGAATTTTCTTTTTTTTTTCTTTTTTTTTATTTATTTTTATTTTTTTTAAAGATTTTTATTTATTTATTTGACAGAGAGAGATCACAAGTAGACGGAGAGGCAGGCAGAGAGAGAGAGAGGGAAGCAGGCTCCCCGCGGAGCAGAGAGCCCGACGCGGGACTCGATCCCAGGACCCTGAGATCATGACCTGAGCCGAAGGCAGCGGCTTAACCCACTGAGCCACCCAGGCGCCCTGTTTGTATGAATTTTCAATGTCAGTTAACCCTTAACACCCGAATGGCTCTTAAAGAAAGTGGTATCTAGGGGTGCCTGGGTGGCTCAGTGGGTTAAGCCTCTGCCTTCGGCTCAGGTCATGATCCCAGAGTCATGGGATCGAGCCCCACATCGGGCTCTCTGCTCAGCAGCGAGCCTGCTTCCCTTCCTATCTCTCTGCCTGCCTCTCTGCCTACTTATGATCTCTGTCAAATAAATAAATAAAATCTTTAAAAAAAAAAGTATCTATTAAAACATTCAGCTTCCATTAAAAAAAAACAACAAAAAACACCCAACTTAGAGAAATATAAAAACCCAGAATTTATTTCTTCTAAGTGATTAAGTATTAAATGTTGGAAATACTGCTCTTTCAGCTGTTAGGCAAAAAAAAGAAACTGAAGTCTATTTTTGGAAAGCCCATTTGGTCTGTAAGCACGCTACACGCGTGAGGCGCGCACGTCCACAGGTCACAGAACTTCTGTGGCAGCTGTAGATGTGCAAATCTCAGCAGAGCAGTTTCCCTGCCCGTAATTCTGTCCTTCCTAAGGGCCTGTCAGGTAATTGTTGACTGTGAGTGTTGTTATGTGCTCTGAAGTAATCATGTTAATTTTTCTTCTTCAGTAATATGCACGAATAAAATTAGAAAAACCAAAAACCTTTATAACTCTCGCTAACCAAATTAGAGACTTGACAGGATAATATGGAAAGAACACATGCTCTCAGAAGTCTTTTGAAGTGATATTAACTAGAGCTGATTACCAGAAAAAGATGTTTTTATGAGGAGAAATTTTTTTAAATCTGAGGAATGTACATTTGCAAAATGTTAGTAAACTGTGATTGTTGATCTGTGTGTGAGCATTCTGCATTTTATTTTGCTTTTGGCAATTTTTTCCTTTCAGTTGTTTTCCACTCTGATATTCCAACAGCCTGCTCTTCCAGCTTCCCATTCAATGGATATGTGATGCGTTTGGGTTTTGCTCGTCATTTTATGGGTTGCAAGCAGTGACTTCTGTTTACAAAATCAAATGACATTATGACATTTAAAAAAATATTTTGTGTGTCCTGACCAATTATCTATAATCTGTATCAAAAGTCTTCTGTCAAATTTGTGGCTCCACAGAATTTTTCACACTAGTGAGGATAATTATACACGTGTTTGTAATAAATGCCTCTACCTGGGTAACCTTAATTTTTCTCAAGTCTAGACAAGCCTTTTCTCCCCCCCCCTTTTTTTTTAAATAGACATTCATTTTCAAACTTACACCCAGGGCTATATGATCAAAGGTAAATGCCATCAGACTTCAAGTTCTATAAATCTGTAGATCTTTTATTTTGCCCTTTACTTTATAGCAGTGTCTTTAAATTTTAACTAGGCTTTAGAGCAGTGTCGATAAAAGTAATTTAGTTAATCTTGATATGAATGTGTATTATTTTTAGGTTCTCATATGCAGTGGCTACTTAAAAAAATTCAAAGATTATTTTAGGTACCGGTTTGCACAGTGAAGTCTTATCTAAAGTCTTTGTATAAAATCGCCTAATATTAACTCTTTATAGATTCAGAAACTCACTTCTGATCAGATGCTTTCATTGTACTCCTTTGTTTTTCTTTAATAATTAGGAAATACCTATCAAGTGTTTTCTGTTATAAAGATTTACTGCCTAACACAGTTCCTTCCACAGGTTAGCCTCGGAGTAAATGTCTACAGACAGTCCTGTTTGTTTGTTTGTTTGTTTGTTTTTAGGTTACGCAACACCAGGATTGTATAGCAAGTCTAAGTATTTACATATATGTATATTCCTAATTGCCATCTAGTTTCTTAGTATCAACTTTACATTCTGTGTATTCTTAATATTGTATATGTCATCACCATGAAGGTGATGTGGCTTTTCTTACATTTATCCACTTTTTCCCTCTTTCAACAGGGGAAAATGCAGTGTTGCCCTTCTGAATGAGACAGAGTCAGTATTGTCGTATCTTGATAAAGAGGTAATTCACAACTACACTTGTTTTGTGTTTTTTTCCCCCTTGATTTCACACGAACCCCATACCTTTGAGTTTATTTCTTCTTGCACCAAGTTATTGCATTGGGAGAGCAGCATTATATAAAAGTATAATGACTAGAATACATTTAGGTAATTTGATTTTTCTGGTTAACTGAGATAACATTTGGCAAAAACTTCTGTATCTGGTTTTTTTCGGTTGGTAATGAAAGGCTTTATACAGTATGATGAGTTAGTTGGTAATAGAAGAACTGTTTTTGGCTTTATGAAATAAGTGACTTCTGTATACTTGGTATTCCTCCCTGTTTTTTTGTTTTTGTTGTTTTTCAAATAAACAGTTTTTCTTTGAGACTTTTTCCAGATGAGATCTTAACTCGTGGTCTGCTTTCTTTCTTAAAATCCCAGTAAACTTTGTCAACTAAAAATGTTTCTTTCTGTAAACTTCATTAAGAAACATTTTAAATATTTTTTTAACAAGTTGAATGAGAGTATATGGTTCATCGGAGGGAGGAAATTCCTTTAAACAGAATAGTCTACAATGGGAAAATTTTTACTGTTAATGTTTTAGTATTTAACCTTTATAATTTCATGGTGTTTTGTTTTCTCAAGTCTTTATTTTTTGTATGTATGTGTGTGTGTATGTGTGTGTGTATATGTACTTTATATATGTGTGTATATGCTTTTAAACAATTAAAGGGGGGTGCCTGGGTAGCTCAGTTGTTAGGCATCTACCTTCAGCTCAGGTCATGATACCAGGGTCCTGAGATGGAGCCCCTCGTTGGGCTCCCTGCTCATCGGGGAGCCTTCTTCTCCCTCTCCCACTTCCCCTGCTTGTGTTCCCTCTCTCACTGTGTCTGTCAAATAAATAAAATCTTAAAAAAAAAAAAGAATCAAAGGGATATATTTTCTGTGAAAAAAACTTTTTTATTATACTTAAAATTTGCTTAAAATTTAAAAAGTACTTAAAATATACTTTAATAATTATACTTAATATGTATACTTAACATGTTATACTTAAAATGTTGTCCCCTCATCTCAAATGAAGAATACATAACTGCAAAAGATATTGCAGACAGGTAGAACTATTGTACATTAGAAAATCTAATAGAGAAAACTAAGAGAAAGTAAATACTCAAGGCGGAAACAAGATTGATAGTCTTTATAACTTATACATGGGACATTTAGAAAATAATGTAGCAGTGTTTTTCAATCAACATATGGATAACTGTATGGAGAAAAATAATGCTCAGAAATTAGCATTAGTTCGCAAAAGCAGAAATAAAAGGAAGAAACACTGAGTACGTTTCAGTGTATTTTACTGGTGTATTTGGCTGTTAAGACAGTGTAATTTTTTAATTTCTAATTTTTTTTTTAAATTTTATTTATTTATTTGTCAGAGAGAGAGAGAGCGCTCGAGAGTGAGCACAGGCAGACAGAGTGGCAGGCAGAGACAGAGAGAGAAGCAGGCTCCCTGCCGAGCAAGGAGCCTGATGCGGGACTCTATCCCAGGACTCTGGGATCATGACCGGAGCCGAAGGCAGCCGCTTAACCAACTGAGCCACCCAGGCATCCCTTTAATTTCTAATTTTTTTTTTTTAAAGATTTTATTTATTTATTTGACAGAGAGAGATCACAAGTAGACAGAGAGGCAGGCAGAGAGAGAGAGGGAAGCAGGCTCCCCGCCGAGCAGAGAGCCCGACGCGGGACTCGATCCCAGGACCCCGAGATCATGACCCGAGCCGAAGGCAGCGGCCCAACCCACTGAGCCACCCAGGCGCCCCTAATTTCTAATTTTTAAAGAAGCTTTATTTTTAAGTAATCTCCACACCCAACATGGGCCTTGAACCTACAACCCTAGAATCAAGAGTCACGCGCATGGTCCACTGATTGAGCCAGCCAGGTGCCCCAACAGTGTGATTTTTAAAAAAGTGGTATTTTTGCCTTCTGATTTGTCGTTAGTAATTTCTATGTGCTAAGGATTGTAGGAGATGAAAATTTGCAAAGGACTTTAGGATTTTTTTCCTGTCCATTTGATTTTTAAGCACTTGGTCCTGTATCAGTCTTTGGGAAAGGAACTGACGTCTCTGGCAGTGTATTTGAGGAAAACTTTTTTTATTCAGAGAGAGCAGTTTAGTAAAAATAAAACTGCTTACGTTATATTCCTTTTTCAATTCGAAAAACACTTTATTCTTTTTTTTTTTAAACTTCTTTATCTGTTATAAGACCATCCTTGAGAAAATCTGGTTTTTAAAATATTGAAATTGGCATATTTGAGGATGGTTAGTCAAAGGACAACTTTCTAATCACGATTTTTTACTTGCTGAAAAATTACATTTACATTTTAAACAATTTCCCATATCAGGCAGGACATATAAATTTAAGGAATTTGTTTTTTTCTTTTAGAGAGAGAGCACATGTGAGTGAGCACAAGTAGGGGGAGGGGCATAGGGAGAGGGTAAGGGAGAGAGAATCTTAAATAGACTCCAGGCTTAGCACAGAGCCCATTATGGGGCTCGATCTCATGACCTGAGATCATGACCTGAGCTAAAATCAGGAGTCGGTTGCTTAACTGATGGAGTCACCCAGGTGCCCCAAATTTAAGGAGTCTGAAGCAACCTGGGTGGCCCAAAATAATAATTTCATCTCATTTTACTGACAAGTATGGCAGAATCCTGTTTTTATAGAATCCTGTGCTGACATATTTTACAGAATAAAAGTGACCAGAGGTGCGTCCTCTTTTGAAGTCGATGGTGTGCCAGTGGCAGTAGCTTTAGTTCCCTACTAACACTCTTTGTTGCTCCTGTCTTCAGAGACCCGTAATTCTGATTATGTATTGATCAACCTGTTAACCTGTTAAGCAGGTTGATTTATATATTCTGCAGATTTTTCTTTTCCCTGGGTAGTACTTTTATATGCGTAAATTGTCACATTGTCGTGTCTTCTTAGCAATTTTATTGTCTAAGCTTTTCTTCCGACAGTGACCCATGTCAGCTTGTCTTGTTCTCTCCTTTCCCTTTATCACGATCTGTGAGAACCGAAAGGAGAAAGCTTTACAGTCTGGCAGGTATCTTACTTGCAGCCTGCGCACCAGGGCCGTGGTAAGATGCGGATGGTAGAAACGGGCCCCTCCAAGATATAAGGCAGAGAGTCATGCAGTAGATGACCCCCAGAGTCCTAGCAGGGAGCAGGGACAAGACTTTATAAGACATCTGGTAGTTTTGCAAAATTCAGCAAAGGCCTGGTGCTTGGTCATTTTATCCTTTAGGCTCAGTCAGTAGGGCCGTTTTGCATTCCAAAGGACCTCAGGTGCTGGCTTTGGCAGCATATACACCAAAATTGGAACAATACTGAGAAGATTAGCATGGTCTCTGTGCAATAATGACAGGCAAATTCGTGAAGGGTTCCATATTTTGTGACGAAAGGGGCAGGTGGGAAGGACCTTGGAAAGTTAATGGGTATGCTGGTAGTGGTAGGTATAGTTATGTTTATACGCCTATTTATATGTAAATATGAGTGCTTCAGGATTTAAAGGAGAGCTGCAGAATTGGAATTAATAGATGTTTAAATAATACAATGTGACATTTTAATGAGTAAACTGCATTTAAGCTCAACTCTTCTAAACTTTATTGAATGTGAGATGTGTATGCATTTTAACATACTGATAAAACGTGGACGGACACTTTAAAAGTAAGGGTGCCAGGTGTCCTCATTGTTCAGTATGGGCTTTAGAGATTGAAATACGACTTCAGGAGTCTTACTTGACTTACAGCTTAGCTTTGCTAGCTTTCCAGAATCTTGTTTTAGAGCGGTTAAATGGTTTTCTTTTAGACTAAAACAAACAACAAAACCTGATAGTCTACCTTTATTGTAAGCTGTTTATTTTTGCTTGATTTAGTTTTACGCTATTTTACATGATGACAGTAACATCATTTTCTTCTTCAAGATCTATGAATTTATCCACCAAAATGAAATCTTACGTACTTTCTGAAGTCTTATGGTTTCTTTATGGTGACATTGGTCTTATTGCTGTATAAAAAGTAGAAGGAATTAAGTTTACCTAAAATTTTCTGTCATTTTTTTTTTCAGGACACCTTTTTCTACTCATTGGTCTATGACCCTTCAGTGAAAACACTGTTAGCTGACAAAGGTGAAATCAGAGTGGGGCCTAGATATCAAGCAGACATTCCAGAGATGCTCTTAGAAGGTATGTTTTCCTTCGGGTTTCAGTCCTATGAAAACAAATATATCTTGAAACTCAAATATCCTTTTCCTCATCTGGGAAAGGAGACTTTTAGGCTGAAGTTTAAATGTTATAAGTTCTTCCACTTGTAGAAATACAACAAATAGCAACAAAATATAATTTGAGGAGTTGTTTATTTATTTTACATTTTTATGAGTTTTCTGGCTGTGTTTTCCCTTAATTTAATTTTATTATATTTTATTTTTTTAAGTAGACTTCATGCCCAGTGTGGAGCACAACATGGGCCTTGAACTCATGACCCTGAAATCAAGAGGGTCTGACACTTAACCAGCTGAGGCACCAGCTGACCCTATGCTTTTCCTTTTAAATGCTACTTTAAGAATGTTCATATTGTTGAACTTGTGTCTTAATGTGACACATCCACGCCTTGAGGTCCTGAATGCCCCTAAGTCATCTGTCTGAGGTGGCCTGGAATCTAGTGAATAGTTACATTTTGGAATTTGGGCTAATCTGGGGTAGTTTATGTACTGGAGGGAGGATTCAGAGCTTTACATTTTAAAAACAACTTAGAACATAACTTCCTTTCTCCTCTTATAACTGTACATTTAAAATCTTTACTTTCTGATTTTAAAAGTAAAACATTCTTCAGACATAGCAATGTATGATGTAGGAAACGAACACCATCTCCTTTCCTTCACTGCAAATCCCCGTTTCACGCCTGTGGTTGTTTGGGGTGTATTCGCACTGGCCTGCCCCCCCTCCCGGGACTGGTCCAGGACTGGTCCAGGACTGGCCATGTTGCACGTGATCTTCTGGAGCTGCTCTTCTCCATTCCCATTGTATCTTTCTTTAGCACCTTCTCACAGGAGTAATGTGACTTTTATTTTTTTCAGTGACCCTGTAGGTCTTACATTTGCCCGGATGTACTATTATTCCCTCTTCCAGTCCCCTATTGATAGATTGTTAGGTATTTACATTTTTCTGTGCTACAAATTGATGCTGCTAGAAAACTTACATATATATTTGTGCTGTATAAATATTTTTCAAGCATAACTTCTTGGAAGTGAGATGGTATATACATTTTACATACTGAAAATGCTCCTCTGCTCTTCCAAAATGCTGTGTTACTGTACGTTTGAAAGAACCAGGTGCTTTCGCCAACCCTGATTGTGAGGGATTTTTTTCACCTTCCATTCCCCCCCCCAATTTTGATGTGTCATTGTCTTAGGGGTTTTTTGTTTTGTTTTGAAGTTGAGATTATACTTGCCTTAGTTATTTTTAGCTCTCCTTTAAATTTCTTGTGCTTTTTCTCCATGGTTATTTATTTTTTTATGTATTGGCAAGAATTCTTTGACTATTAAAGGTAAGTAAACACAGAAGTATTTACCTTTGTCTATAAATATTACAGATACCCTCCCCCTACATACACTTAACTATTTCATTAAAATTTTTTATTAGTGACTTTAAATTTAAATCTTTAATATTTTTTGTCATACAGAAATTTAGAATTTATTAGTCTTTTCCTTTAAGGCATTTTATGATGTGCATTCTTCACAGAAAGGCCTCCACTTTTACTTTTGCCCTCTGATTATTAAAACATCTGAGTTCGGGGCGCCTGGGTGGCTCAATGGGTTAAGCCTCTGCCTTGGGCTCAGGTCATGATCTCAGGGTCCTGGGATTGAACCCCACATTGGAGCATTGGACTCTCTGCTCAGCGGCAAACCTGCTTCTCCCCCCACCCCCCCACCTACCCCTCTGCCTACTTGTGATCTTTATCTCTGTCAAATAAATAAATAAAATCTTAAAAAAAAAAAAAATCAGTTCTTCCAGGGCGCCTGGCTGGCTCAGAAGTGTGTGACTCTTGATCTCAGGATCGTGGGTTTGAGCCCCATGTTGGGTGTAGAGATTTTAAAATAAACTTTAAACAAAAATTAAACAAAACAAAACAAGAGTTCTTCCATTGGTTCTTCTCCCTTTTAATCTTGCCATACTTCTAAGAAAATGTACACAGAAAAGTTAAATCAACAATTACTCAAGATAGAGTTTGTGAACTGTAGTACACATTGGTGTCAGTAATGCCAGGCTACAGACATCTTTCTTCTCATGAACTTAAATACCAGGAAAGGTCAGTCAATAAAGATTAAGCTCAAAGGAAAGAACTCTGTGTCTGTGCTCACCTGTGTTTGGAAATGATTTTGAACAGACTGGGAGTAGTGAACCAGTTTATTATAGGTTCGAGAAATTATATTTAATTGGCATTCTTATCTGTGTAAATCAACTTATCTTCCAGAAGTAGTTTTTATGTTTTTAGTCCTTAATATTTGATGTTAGACTTATATCACTGTACCTAAGTATTCACTAAATATTATTTTTTTAAAACTTGATTTTTAAATTTCACAAACAGTGCTGAATGCAAATAATGGATTATTTTGTACTCCAGATATAAGTGGCAAAGTAGATTCGCTGAGTCAAAGGGCTTGTGTGTTTGAAATTTTATACAAAATGCCAAATTGTCTTCCAGGTAGTCATTTACAGGTGGGTAGTCATTTATAGGTGGGGTTTTTTTTCTCTTGTTTTAATTAAGGTGTAATTTATATGTAGTACATCCCACCCTTTTTAGTGTACAGTTCTGTACAGAAGTGTATGTTCCCAGTGAGATAGTTCTCCAAGTCCATCTGTGCACAGGCCAAATGCCAGCAAGGTCCCTTGTGCCCATGTGTGTATGGCACCCAGCCCAAATCCTGCATCCCCTAAGCAGCCTTTGTCACTCTTCCCTGAACGCTCATCCCTCGCATCTTTGAACTGTGCAGATGTTATCTTTTATACTATTTTTTATTATTTGACTTTAGAAATTTTAAAATCAACACCTGAGCTGTTGATTGTATGGTTTTCCCTTAAACACTGAGCACAAGCCTTGATGTATAGAAAGCCTGGAATGTTTTTTTAAAGATTTTATTTTATTTTTAAATTATTTTTATTAATATATAATGTATTATTTGCCCCAGGGGTACAGGTCTGTGAAGCCTGGAAATTTTTGAGTATTGCTCATGGATAAATGCTAAACCAAGTAATGAAGTTGGTGTGTTTCGAGTAACAGTGGGCAGAACAATCAGATCATAGAATCTCACAAAATCCCATTTATCTGGAAGACTATTTAAATAAGGTATTTATGGGCTACCTGGTAGCTCAGTCGTTAAGCCTCTGCCTTCAGCTCAGGGCATGATCCCAGGGTCCTAGGATCGAGCCCCACATGGGGCTCCCTGCTTAGCGGGAAGACTGCTTCTCCCTCTCCCACTCCTCCTGCTTGTGTGTTCCCTCTATCACTGTGTCTCCGTCTGCCAAATAAATAAAATATTTAAAAATAAATAAATAAATAAATAAATAAATATGGTATTTACCCCTGAAAAGTGTTAAAGCTACGTAATTTGGAAAGCATATCTCCCTAGATCAGAATTTTAAAAGATGATTTTCGGAAACAAAATGATACGTGAAATGTAAAAATTTATTATACAGTTCCCAAAACAGACTTGAAGTTCTTCTGGGTGAGAGGAATGATTCTTAACAGCTTGTGGCATTTGGGGAGTTACCTGACAAAGGCATACTTCGTATTTAGAAAATGTGATTGAGTGTTCATTTAATGTAATAGATCTTTTATAGTTCTTTAACAAGTATTAATTACCTTTAACATAGTGTTTCTCCTGGCAGTCTTCTGGGTGGGTGGTTTATAAATTTTATTTAGGTAATAGAACACTTCCTTCTAATGAAACACTACACAGTATGACCTTAAATAAAATAAGAAAAGCAGCTTGTTGTGGGTGAGGTAGAAGAGAAGGCCCCATTGGATCTCCTGCGATACCCCAGTGAGCCTTAGGGTTAAGAGAAGGACACACTGAAGGCTGCTGTTCAGTACTTCACTCTTAGAGTCCTGTCTCTTCACAGAGAGAAGCCACTCAGAAGTGCGTAGGATGAAGTCCCTTTGCAACATAGCATAACAATGGCACTCCACTAGATTCCTGTTGCAAATAATAGGAATTGTGGTATAAAATGCAATTATACTGAAATCAAAAAGTAGTAGTTCCTCAGATCATCCCTCTTTGCCCACTGTCAAACAGCATTACTAATTTAATATGTTCTCCCTGTTTGTTACCTATCATATTGAGTTCCATGAAATTATATTCAGTGTTTAATTGTGTGACAGATCCAAGTTTATCTGTCTCTTATCACATGTTTTATGGTAGGGTAAGTTTCCCCTCATTGTTCTTAAAAGTTCGTGTGTGTGTGTGTGTGTGTGTGTGTGTGTGTGTGTGTGTGTGTGGCAGGGTGGGGAGATGTCTCATCTCAGAGATATTTTTCCGACTGTTGATCTTTTTTAAATCATTTAGTCAAATACTTCCTTCCCAGATTTCATTAGAATTCTGATTAAAATTATATTAATATTTTCTATTACTTTGGGAGGTGACTGGTCATTTCATAATATTGAGTCTATTCCTATGGGTCTGTGGGGGTCTGTTTTGAGGTTTTTATTCTGTCTGACTGGTTTGTTTGTTAATGTTCTAGGAACTCACTGGTTTAATTATAGCGACTTTGTATGTGTGGTAATACCTGGTGAGGCTAATCCTCCTCTTATTTTTCTGAATAAACTTTATTATCAGCTTGAATCTTCCTTACTATGTTTATTGGCATTTCAGTTAATTTTTAAGTTAATTTAGGGAGAACAGACTTTTGATGGCTTTGAAAAATCTTAATTAGAAACAAGGGATGTCTTTTTCTTTGTTCAAGGCTACTTCTGGATCTTGTGGTTTTTTTGTTTTTTGTTTTTTTTAGTATAGATTCAGTCATATAGATTTTATACATTTCTTGTTAAGTTTATTTTTAAGTTTATAATTTGTTAACTGTTAAGTATTCATTTTCAACAAAGAAAAACACCATATTTTTCATCATAAATGAAGAAGTCACTTTGGATTCCTATTTCAGCCTAAAGCAGTTAGCATATCCAACATGTT